ATAAAATTAAAGTATCACAAATTTCGCGATCTACATTGCTGATCATTTCCCGATTGCAGACTTTTGACCACCGAGTGTACGTCGTAATTGAACCTTTCCTTGTCGCACAATAGACGTTTGAACTTCCCCTTAATTACGTCGATCATTGCCCGATTACAGACTTTTGGCATGTGCACACGGTAGACAAAAGTTTTGGAATCGGAAATGATTGACTTGTCTACCGAGTGTACAGAATCTTTAATACATAACGATACGCAGTTTTCACGGCGCTGAAATATAAAATTAAATTTTAATCGCATGAGCTTTTTTAATGCAAGAAAAATGGCATCTTCATCAACCTCTAAAGATTTTGAGACGAAATTCAAAGACATCAATGCTCAGATAAATAACGATTTACAATTTCCTACACTTAATGAAATTTCTTTTTTATTTTTAAATTATTTCAATCTTTTCGTAGCATTTATTTTTTTCGTCGCATTTATTTTCAATTTTTTTAATAACGAGAGGAAAATCACGGAACCAAAATTTGAAGATATTTTTGTACATATAAATGGCGACGACACTTACTTTATACAACTTCCCGTAAACAAAACACTGAATGAAATCCGTATTTTACTTTCCAATGAACCAAATATTCGAATGGGCTCAAAAATGTATTTCATGATTCAAACTGCCAAAATCTTACAAAACGACGAATGTAAACATCTTTTATCAAAAATTCTTGATAATAATAATCTAAACATTTGCGGTGAACAGGAGTTAGATTTGGAAGAGCCAATATTCAGAGACATTAATGTTCAGAGAAATGACGATACAACTTTCCTTATACCACTTCCCATAAATAAAACACTGACTGAAATCCGTCATTTACTTGCCATTGAAAAAGAAATTCGCATGGATTCAAAAATGTATTTCGGTAATCCATTTGCCAAAATTTCGCAAAATTACGAGGGGAAATATCTCTTAAAAGCTATTCTTGATTCCAATAATCATTTGAAAATCATCGGCGATTATGAACCAAACTGGGAAGAGATAAAAGTCATTTGTAAATTGGCGTATGGAGTTGACTTTTCGGAAACTGGCCCAAAGTACGCAGAGAAAAAAGCATTTGATATTACGACACTTCATCTGAGCAAGTTGGCAATTACAGATACACTTGATGAAATAATTACGTGTCGAACAAAAAGCGACAAAATATGTGCGAAAAATCTTATAACAAACTTTCAAGTAACTGCAAATTTACTGTGGTGAGTTGATTCACGCAAGAAACTTAATTATATTAATATAGTGCTAAGTGAGTTTAAATGATAGGTCATCGATTTCGGCAACTCTCAAAGAATCTAGAGGAACTGAAAAACACACGAGCACTGAAAATTCAACTACTTATAAGAGTTTCAAAAGAATTAAAGCTGAAGCATTATATATTGAAGCAAAACCAACAGAAGAATTTAAAAAGGCTGTTGAAAATGCTCTTGCACCAAATAATCCACATAATAAACTTGAAAATCTTGAAAAAGTTGCTAAAGAATACGGTCCATTATACTGCAAAAAACTCGGAATTGGTGGCAGGATTTTGGTTCAAGAAAACAAAGAAGGAATTGCATATCAGCATGATATGTCAAGAGAAACAAATGCTTCTGGAAGGCTAGAAGTAACTCAAAATGTTGAGATCGGCGGGGAAGCAGGAAAAAGTCAACAAACGAAAAAAATAAATTCTTCTGTTAATGAAAATTCTTTTTTTCGAATGTTTGGTGGCTTAAATACAAAGTATCATGGATCGGGAATGTCTGGTTAGCAGAATATAAAATTATTTGACTTTTATTGTTATTCTTTTTTTTAACAATAGACTTTTTTAGGATGGGTAGATTCATTAAACAACTATCAAAACTGGGCGGTAGCGGAATATACTGAAATAAATTCTGTCTTTGATATTCTGGATCCAGGAACAAGATCAAGAATCGCAGAGTTATCAAAACGAATCGTGGAATCAGAAGTTGTAGAATTAACTTACGAAATAGCTGATATTAAACCATACACCTATTATCTACCCTCGAATCTTCAACTTTCAAATACCGATCATATATTCGTAACAGTAATGAAAGAAGACGAATCGAAGAACTTATTTGCTGCACGAGTTCATTATATAGACGAAAAAAGTCGACCGATAATTCTTATTCATCACTTGAAACCATTAAAAGCACCGAAGTTTATTACACTGAAATTAGGTTTGATTGTGATTGGCACACCCACACTGTTAGACTTGGCACAGCCAGTTTTTGAAAGTAAAGAAATCGAAATTGAAGAAATCGAAATTAAAGCAAATGACGATAATAAACGACTTATGGCTACTATCAACCAAAAAATTGATTCAAATAGTAGCCTTTTGGCCACATGTGTTTCAAGAGAAGAAGACCCAAAAAATCTAACAGGTTACGAATATATTGCGGGAACTCATTTTGTTTATAAGGATGATGCTATTAAAGCTTGTGCTTTTTGTTATAAATCTCAGAAAAGTAAGTTTTTAAACAAAGAGGAACTTCTTCAAATCAAGAATATGCCAATTAAACTTTCAGTCAATTATAGGTAAAGATCTTGAATTAGTTTATGAATATTTCAACATAATTGAGTAATAATCTTTATTTCTAGCATCATCGCTGGAACAGGAAAACACCAATTCGGAAAAACCAAAATCATTAGTGAATCTTTAAGTCCACGATCAAAATGTTTTAAAGTTTCTTTTGACGATTATCCGAGACTAATTGAACAATCAGTGCCTCCACCTGTGCCACTATTAAATGAAAAAGTATCATTATCAGCAACCATGCAAAGAACGTTACAAAATCCAGTTTTTATTAGCTTAATTTTGGGCAATTGTCCAAAAGATTGTGTTCACGGATTTTTTAATATTACACCAAATCATGCTATGTTTAGGTCTCTAAAGAATTCATTTACAGAAGATGGACAGATTGTGCATTACCTTGTCGGATGTAAATGAATTTCTTGCGTTATTTTGATATTAATAATTATTTATGTCTAATTAATTTTGTATAGAATTTGTCTGGTTTGATAGAAAAACGCAGCATGAAAAATTATTATATTGATAAACTAAGAAAATTCTTTAGATAGATTGAAGCGTATTTTCAAAATAATTAGCTAATCTCATTGAAGCAAAAGCTACGTTTACTGTAAATTGTGGTATAAATAATAGAAACTATATATTGTCATTAACAATAATTACTATAGTAGTATACTTAACAACGTAAATGTTGGTAGCGCATCTTTCGAAACTAATATATTATCTGATATAAGAATTTTCAAAATTTACTCTTTCTTTATATTAAAAGTTTTTTAGATCATATATCCAACATAATCTCGTAAGTTACTACTCAAACGAATCTTTTTAACGCTAAGTTAAATTTTAAATAAACTGTTTCCGAAGCAGCTCAAAATCTTCTGTACAATTGATAATGCAACTCTTCAATCGCATTGATTCTCTGTTATCTGTTAAGAACAGTCATTCATACCATAATTTTATGGCTGGCATGATTTTAAATAGAAAGCAATATTTGATAATCTCAATGTACAAAAGTCATTCGAAAGCTAGAATATGAGGGTAGTCAGTAAAAAAGGAAATTGTAGTTTTCTCGATAATTAGATTATCTAGGCTTTTATTATGAAAACATATATTTTCTTATACAAAAAAAATTGGTTTGATAAAGAATTATTTGTCCCTTTTTATTAAAACGATTTGTAATAACTTTGTTTTTCAACTTGTTTATGCAGTTGACTGAAGCCACAAGTTCAGCTTTTTCTGCTTTAATCACAATTCTTATTTATTTTTCCTTTTTGACATGTGATCTTATAATGAAGAGTTTGTTTTGTATAGATTCCATATTTTTTATGGAATATCTCATAGTATGCAAAAGACAAGACACCAATTTAAGATTAGGTTTCGTACATTTCTTTAAGGGCATTAATTTGATTCATTAGCATTAGAAGTTCATGATTGGTTGCTTTTTTAATTATTTTATAGGCTCTTTCTAATAAATAATTAATAGATCCAACTAATCAAATATTTTGGGCTCTAGTTATAATATACTATTGTTCGCTGAAAAATGGATAGTGTCCGAAATTTAACAATTTTTAGAATATTAATTTTGGCTAGCTAGTAAAAACATGAAAAGTCACCACAAAGATAAAACCCGATTTAAATTACATATAAAACATATATAAAATTTTTGTGATTTTTTGAAAATACAGTGATTATCTTTAAATGATACAAAATTTAGAAAAGGAATATAAATTTGAATATAGTGTTTCTCACTTCTGGAAAATTAACTGATTTAGAGGGCAAGTGCGGCAAGATAAGAATAAGAGCAAGACTGAATGATTCACAATTAAAGGTCTATTTATTGTTCTATAGGTCACCTCTTACAATGTTAATCTTAGTTTCGGTGGGGCGTGAAGGTTGTTTCTGATAACCAGCAACAAAAAGAGACTACATTACACTACAAAGGGTTTCGAGAATGTTTCTGATCACCTATAACAAAATAACGCGTTCTGCTAAGGTTACTTTGGAAGCAACAATCCAGATGGTTTTAGCTAATTAAAAACTACGATACGATACGCAAAATCAAAGGTTGACTTAGTTTATGTCAACAAATCAAACTCGAATTATGGATCATTTAAAGTGAAGGCCATTCAATATTTGAATGCAAAGTTTGAAGATAATTAAATAAAAAAGGTGTATTCACAAGTAAAGGAGTTATTTGCAGATAAATTATTTTTCATTTATTTGATTAGAGCAAAACGTTCAAAGGCGAACATTCGCCTTTTTATACAAATCGACTTTACTAATTCTATTCTACGCTAAAACTATAGATTCTGGACAATAAGATTAAGAACAACACAAGCGATATCAATAAAGGAATAAATAACAAAGACTTGAATCTCAAGAAACATCGATTTAGAAATTAAACACTATCAAAATGCATGTTCCTTAAGAAATTGATTTGAAGTCATAGCAAATAAAATTGAAAGTACATAGATAGACTTACGAATTGGTATTGGACATTAGTCCAAAAAATTATGGTAATATTATTTATGTTGCATAATTACAAAAGAAATTACGAACTCACAAATCCCAATATTGCCACAATGTCAGATGCTTAATAATGGCTGTTGCTATTTCAATTATTACAAAGTGCATGTATCATGTATCACAACGTTCTGGGACGTTAATTAATAATTCAACACAATACAACATCACGACAATTCTTAATCCCGACAGTTCAAATTCCCGACAATACAACATCCCGACAGTTTAAAATCCCGGCAAGCAACAATTCAACTTGCCGAGATAGGGAACGGTTAAAACGTAGTCAGTGTTTAATAGGGGTAGCGCAAATTTTGATCAAATTAAGAAATGCGAATATTACAAGAAAACCAATACTAAATCGGTCTTTGAATACTAGCTAAGAATTTCGTAATGGCAATTTTACAATCTTATCCTTTGCCTTAACTCGACCTAATAAATCATTAAACCAGTCGGAAGGTTGGATTGTCGTGATTGTGAACCGTCGGAATGTTGGATTGTTGGATGGTTACCAAAGGGATCAAATTCTTTTATCCGAACCGAACGCTTTACGATTAAAAACACCGACAAACAAACTGGCAAAAGAAATATATAAACTGAGTCTGCGTGGAGTTTTGAAAAAGCAATATTTGCAACTGCAAGCGAAATGTCAATGAAACACATTTGAAAAACGTTTGTATTATGATGTACTTTATGTTATGTTCACATGATTTTTTATCGCGGCAAAAAACTAATACAAAATTTGTTTAAATTAATTATATAATCCTTCACTAATCCTGTCTTAGTACGATGAATTCCAAAAAAATTAGTTTAGTAGTCATATAAAAACAATTTTACCCAATCTGACTCACATATTGATATGCGTTTTATATAGATGCACTTTCACGAATGAAACTTTAAGGACCTCACTGGTTTAACAGGATAGATTTCACCTTGGTTAAACAGAGCCAAAAAAAATAATGTTACAGAATTGCAATTTACCTCTTGTTTTTGCTCAAAGCAAAAATATGGATTAATTTTTCAAAAATGCTGCATTATCTTACTTATTTTTTACCTTTGTTTTAGACCACAGGTGAAACCTACCTGTTCGATCGTTGTCTATTATTCAGGATTCTAATAAGATGATACTCAAATCACCTCCAATACGCGAGCTTTCAAAAGAGGTCTTCACTCAAATCTGACGAATTATCATTTGAAATTAATCATAAATTTACTTCTTTTTTACATTTTTTCCTTTAATATCGCCACAGATTTTTGAGGGTGAGTAAGAAGAAAGTCAAGAATTCGTACGCTGTAGCTTTCAAAAGACCGGTTATTTCATCTGCTTTTGGATTGGAGAATTTTCCTGTGGGAACGAAACCTACGTTCGGCCCCGGAAACATAATGAATTTTATATTACATGTAGTTTAAATTAGTAATGTTACGCGACGTTTTGTGCACTTTATAAAAATTCCGGATACCAACTGTATTGTTAACTAAAAAATTTCTTGGACTGATGATAATTCATAAATCAAGCACTATTAAAACCGAAATAAATCCAGAGTATTATTCGCAATTTCACAATTACCTAATTCCAAAGCGCTGTCCGCCTTAATATATTTTGCCAAAAAATTTTGATGTTTTAATAAATTAGTTCATTATTGTATAGCGAAAACTCTTGCTCGTACATGCATATACAATACGGTCGACGACGAATATAATATATAAAATATATGGATTTATATTTATATATACATAATTCCGCTATATAATATAGTATTTATTCATAAGTTTTAGAAAGATAAAGTTTTTGTATTTTAATGTCCATTTAGCAAAAAGCTTCCTGATAAAATTAAAGCAATCGTAATAAGTAATCCAACATTTTGACCAAACAAGCTCATTGCTGCAGAAGGAAGAGTTGAAGCTTTGGCGACAGGAGCGGCATCGGATGTTTTCTGTTCTTGTTCGTTGAATCCTGGCGGTGGGTCACGAAGTTCAATGGCGACAGGCCCGTATGTGCCTCCCAGTGGAGGGGTGGCACCTTTTTATATATATAAATAAGATTATTATGAAGAAAAAACATAACTTTCTACAATTCTGTAAATTACCAAAAATTCCACTATAACTAATTGATTCGACTCTTATATAAAACAATGATGCATTAGTAATGCGTTCGTCATTTAAATAAGGAACTTCCCAGTCATAATTATTTGTAGTATTCGTGAGATTTGTGGCAATAATTTTTGGACCCCAATCATAAGTAAGCTGAAAATAAATCGAAGTTTAATGATGTTTTTAGTAATTTCACGAATCAAACAATATTATTACCTTGCCATTTGGAGTATAATCACGTTTTTTCCCGCCTTTTTCATCTGGTACCATTTTCAGATTATTATACAGGAACACATTAAATTGACCGACAACTCTAGCTGACATTTGACATGGTGACTGATTCCACGAAATCCGTTGCTTACTCATCGGTTGAATGATGGTGTTATTCGGTGGTCCGCTGACCAAAATACAAGCTTTCTCTTTTTCTTGCCATGGTTGTTTACGAACGTCTGGCGGTGCTTTTGGAGCAGCTTTTGCTCCATTACTTGCTGGGGCACCAGATGATGGAGGTGCTGAAGTTTTAGCTGGATCACCGTTACTCGCTTGTTTAGGCGGTTGCGAGTTAGAAGATTTAGGTTGGCTTTGTGCGGCTGGTGCAGGAGACATTGGTTGTTGCTGTTGCGGTGACTTTGCAGGAGATTTAGCAGGTGCAGATGATTTGGGGTCATTAGAGTTCGGTGCTTTTCCAGTAGGATTATTATAGACGCTGTTGGGATTTGATGGATTTAATGGGGATGTTGGTGATTTAGGATCGAGTGCGCCACCGGATTCCAATGGATTTCCTAACAAAACCAAAAATAAACATGTATATAATTAAATAGCATGCATGTGTATGAAAGGTTTATATTTACCTTTCCCATAATCAATCCCAGCGAATGGATCATTCTCTTTGGAGTCACCGGCAAGATTTGCTAACCCACCCAACCCACCCGGAATACCACCTGGCATTTGCGCTAATACGGAGCATTTGCAGCAGATAAAAATAATACAGATCATTAACAACATATCATTAAAATTTATTAGATTCATTATTGCCAAAAGATCAAACTTTTTACGAATAAACTTTTTACAAATTCTTTAGGTTGCTTTTTTATGTTTGAAGGATAATTATCTATTCTGCTCTAAAGGCAGAATTCGATCTGTATGAGGACGATGTTTTGATGAAATAGTGAAGAGCATTATATAGTAACTAAAGCGACAAGAGTTGATTGATAGATCAAAATTGATCAATAGTGATTTTGATTATTTATAATTGGATCTTATGAATTGCTCGATTTATTCAAGGAAAATAATATTTTTAAATAAGACGTATCATGCATCAACATACATTCCGCACGGAATAATAATGACGGAAAACTTTTTACATAAAATTGATATGCACTTCTATGAACCTTTATTGCGAGAATCACGATACATGTCCCGTATGGGCAGAATTTTGATTATTGTGAAATCAATCATGAAAGGCATTTTTTATAAGCTGCTTAATCAATTATTTTAGAAGCCTTCTAAATTACTTTATAAATAAAATTTTGAAAGAAAATTTAAATAACATTACTTAATATTTAGATAATAAATTTATAACACGTCATACACATTCAAACTTGATTTTTCAAGAGTAGAGTATGAAGCCTTACTTGGAGGCATTCCAGAGATAAAGTTTTTTGTGTTGTTATCTTTAAAATTGAACCTAATAAATTAATATCATTACTTTCCGCACGGACTGTAGGTTTAATTTTCAATTGTGCCGAATTGAAGCATTCTAGATAATGGAAATGTTCGTGTTTTCAATATAAAGACAAATTTATGTTTTATTTTCGTATCATAAACTATATTAGCTGGGCTATTTAACAAATTCTTTGAAATCACAAAAATACCGATTGATTTTACATACATTGTCATGTTATCCGAATATTTAACTCTTAAGCTTAATAGAATTTTGTGCGCGGCATTGAATATTTAATTTAAACTTCAAAACAGAGTAAACAAAACCCTAAATTTCGGCAGGAATCCCTAGTATGAGTTTCATATTATTGGTTAGCTTTCGCTGTTTTTCATGTTTATAATATACACAAAAGTGGTTAGTTTGTTGTCTCAGAGCTTGTTGATTATTACACTTCTTCAATAGTCATATAGTTGGACAATTACATTAGTCTCTATTTTAATCTCTTTCATCATTTATAGGTTATGAACTGTAGAACATCATCATTTTTTTTTATTATTATCATTATAGAAAACGCAATTTTTAACACAATTCGCAATCATTACGATATTAAAAATCTTGGTTAGAATAATTATTTATATAAGATTTACGATTTAAAATTTGGCCAATTGGCGCAGCAGGTTGTTAATTACATGTATAAGTGCCTTGCACTTTACTCAGCCGAATTCGAATATATCCCAAAACCCGACCCAACTCGACCCCTTCGGAGGATTAACTAATTGATTCGACTCTTATATAAAACAATGATACATTAGTAATGCGTTCGTCATTTAAATAAGTAACTGCCTTGTCATAATTGTTTGCAGTATTCGTGAGATTTGTGGTATTCATTTTTAGAGCTCAAACATAAGTAAGCTGAAAACAAAGTTAAGGTATAATAGTATTTTTAGTAATTTCACAAATTAACAATATAACCTTGCCATTTGGAGTATATCACGTTTTTTCATCTAGTACATTTTTATTGACTGACACTCTAGCTAACAAGGCGATTGAATCCACGAACTACGCTGATCAAATACAAGCTTTCTCTTTCTTGTTCTAGAGGTTTACGTGCATCTGGCGGCGCTTTTGGAACAGTTTTTACTCCATTACTTGGCAGGGCACCAGACCAGATGATGTAGATGTTAAAGTTTTAAGCCGTTACTCTTTTGTTTAGATGATTATGAGTTAGATGGTTTGGATTGACTTTGAGTGGCTGGTGCCGGAGACATTTGTTGTTGCTGTTGTAATAATTTTGGAGTAATTCAGTAGGTGCGGATGATTTTGTGTCATTATAATTTGTGCTTTCCTTGCGGAATTATTATAAAGCTGTTGGGTTTTTGATAATTTAATGGGGAGTATAGATGACTTTGATCAAGCAAACCATAGGATTTCCTAACAAAACCAATAATTAAACTAGCAGACTGTATGTATGAAAATTCTATATTTACCTTTCAGAAAGCGAATGGATCATTCTCCTTGGAGTTACCGACAAGATTTGCTAATCCACCAATACCATTTAAAACAATCAACTTAAAGCTTCATAAGAAAATTGATTTTTAACAATAATGAATCTAATATATTTATCCGCCGCAAATGCTCCTATTAACGCACATGCTCATGTTTGGAGGATAAATATCAATACTGCCTCATATGTGTAATTGAATTCTTTATTGAAATAAACATTTACACTTTCTATTATTATTGGACAGATATAAAAGTCAATATTTTCAATAACTAATATCTATTTAATCGTCAAAAGGAAAATAAAAACTAACTACATGTATTTATGAGATATTGTGAAAAAGTAACAATAATATATTTCCAAAAAAAATTCTATTAAAGCCACCGTAGGACCTAGCCCCCAAATAAGTAATTGTGGAAGTTTTATAAAAAAATGAAGATAATTCTATAGGTCTATTATGTTTAATAAATTTTTCATATTTTCCCTTCATGCCGTTTAAGGGTAACTATTCGAACTCAGATGGTAGTGGTGCACAAAAATATGCGACTTGTTGATTTTTTGTAATCGGATTATTAAGTGATCTAAACATTGCATATTTTCGCGTAATATTAAAAAATCCGTGGACACCTTCCTCCTCGCAATTCGTCGTAATCAAATTCAAAAAAATGGGTTTTTGAAAACCCCGAGCCGACTCGTCATTTGTATATGATGTAGATATGATTCGCGGGTAATCGTCAAAAGTGATTTTAGATTTTTTTGAAGAAAATAAAAATCGGGTGAAATTTTTTTCGATTATTTGTGCTTGTCCAAAAAGTAAATTTTGTTGTTCGGATATAATACTGTAAATTAAAGTAATTAGAAGTGATAATTATAAATTGATTTTTAAAAAAAATAATTTACCAGTTATTCAGAGAAAGTTTATACGGCAAACTATCGAATTGGTTGTATAAGTTCACTTTGAATTAAAAAGAAACATTAGCTATGCTACAAAACAAAATATTAATTTTAAATACTTATTATTACTTTGTTTATCATAACAAAACATGCAAGCCTCAATAGCGCTGTTTTTAATATTAAAATAGGAGCCCATTATAAACTCGGAATCTCTTGGATCACTTTGTATATTTTTAGATCTAGTTACACATGTGGCTATAAGACCTGTATTTGGATCTCGAGCTTTATTCTTAATAACAGCTGAACATCGGTTTTTTGTTGTGATTAATTGAGTCTCTGAACTTTCTAAAGTTAGTTTTTCAGAGTCTTGCTCGAATAGACTTGAAAGTGACTTGCTTACGACAGTGCATCCTAACTTGAAAGAAAAACGTTTTAATTTTGCTTTGTTTTTTAGCTTTCCCAATTGTTGTACAAGAATAATTGGCTGACTATTTTCATCTATATAATGAAGTCGAGCGACAAAGTCTTTTCTTGGTTTGTCGTCTGTCATTACAGTCAAGAACACTTGATCAGTATCTGAAATATTGATGTGTTTAGGATATTCATAAACGAAAGGCTTCCTCTCAGATAAATCCAAAATAGGATTAAGCTCAGAAACAAGTGAATGAATATTATATTTTCCAAGTGTTTTTGTAACTGTCAACTTTCTTTCTTCATCTAAGATATCAAATATCGAATGAATTTCCGAATATTCAGCCACTTTCCAATTTCTATAATCATTTAATGAATTGATCCACCCTAAATACAATTCGAATTAATGATAGTTTTTAATATAAATATGACCTAAAAATTATAGTACCCGCTATTCCTTCTTCATTATATGTTTCTTCCAATCCACCTTGAATGTTAAAAAATGAATATCCCTCTTCAGAATAATTTATTTCTGTGTTCTTTTCTATTTTTCCAATGAAAACACTTGCTTTCGGATTTGATGAGGTTTTGTTTAATTCATTCGAATTATTGCCGCTCGTTTCGTTTTTTTCAGTCGATAAAATAACACCACCAAGTTCAAATTTTTTGCAATAAAATTGTCCAAAATCTTCCGTAACCTTTCTAAGAGATTCACGTTGATTATGTGATGCAAGGGCCTCATCAATTGCGTTTTCAAGATCCTTGGTAAGTTTCATATCTGATTCTTTTATTGTTAATATTGCTTTTATTCGTTTAAATTTGGAATAAATATTGTCTTCGTTATAAATTTCATCTGTTGAATGCAACTGTAAACGTTCAGAAATAGATGGGCTTGAAAGAAATAGTACATGTAGTTAGTTTATATCGAAAATTTAATAGCATATTAGATAGCATTTACATTTGAATGACTTACAATGAAAATTTGTCTGTGATGTTTGAAGTAGCTATATAATTTTTTGCGCATATATTCTCTTCTTTGGTTTTACATTCCAATATTTCTTCAATTGTGATGGGATGTGGCAAGATTTCCAGTATAAACTGCATGATATTAAACATCCTTTTTTTCGCAATAAACGGTCCTTTCTTTGTAAAATGAAGCCCATATTCGTGTGCACACATTTTTGCAATCGCCATCTCTTCAGGCTCTATTTCACCAATAACTTTCAGACTGTTATTTATAAGAATTTCAGATAAAAGCAATTCGGCCTCTTCGTCTTTAGTAATCTTATTTGATTGACTTAAAAAAGACATTTTGTTGTTCATTCGGATTTCAGGTTCTTTACTAAGCATTATACGTATGTCCGAAAGTTTCGCGTTTAAGGGAAGACTTAAGAGTATTGGGGTCTCTTCATTGATCTTAACAGAAATTTTTGCCATTTCTTTCAAAGTAGATCTTTTTTCTTTTTTTACCAAAAATTTTTGCTAGTTTTTATATTAGTATATCGATATGACATGTACATGTAATAGTTTTGTTATCGTTGAAGTAGAGATTAGGAAACTTGCATATAAACGCATATGTTGTAAACAAACGGGGAATCGAATGGTAGTATTTACACATGAATCGGATCACCGGATGCTGTAATATTATGTTGCAAATCATTAAAAAATTGATCGACAAAAAGTCTGTGATATATCTCAGCATCTAGTGATTTGATTTATATGAAATATCATCTCATCAAGGTGAATAGGATAACTGAACGCCAATATTTGATCATAAAACAAAACTTAGTATTATTTGAGAAGAGAAGAAAATCACAAATAGAATACAGTTATGCTATAAGAATATAATAATATAAAGCATTAAGATTTGCATTATTCTTAGTATTGTGAAATTTTCAAAGCATATTATTGAATTTACAGAAAATTTGAAGTGGTGAATTACTTATAATCATTATAATGATTTATTTCATATAGAAAAACGAATAGATACTTGCAGAATCTTAGAATAAAATATAAAATATCCAGTTCTTGTTATATATTTATATAATAATATAGATAAAGTTATAAAATTAATTTGTTTTCTGAAATAGAATCTATCCAGAATATTATTAAAATCATAGATTATGCTTCATTAATTAAATAATTATTTACAGTGTGTTACAAAAAAAATCATAATTTTTTAATTTTTTTCATAAATATTCATTTAAATAATATAAAAATTTAAGAGTATGATAAATAACTTTATTTAAGACTACTTAAACACTTAGCTTATTAAAATTTTTTATAATTTATATTTTTAAAATCAAGAATTTTTAATAATTAGAAAACTTAAATAAATTATTATAAATAAATTTGATTATTATTTTACAAATTAAACTTATTTACTAGATTATCAAGTATATATATTTAAAATTTTATATAATTTAAATAAATATTCATTGAATAACAAATAAAAAAGATTAAAAAAGTATTTTAAATTTTTTATAATCAATTTTTTCAAAAAAAATTTAATAAAAAAATATTAATTATGAAAAATTTTATTAAGATAAGCTATTAAATACTTTTAAGTAAACTTTTTCACTAGATTATCAAGTATATATATTTAAAATTTTATATAAATTAAATAAATATTTATTGAATATAAGTAAAAATAGTAATTATGATTTTTTTTATAATGCATTATATCTATTATAATCTTATATATAATTATAAATATCTATAACTTTAATATTAATTAGAAGCCAAATACTATAATAATTTTAATTAGATTATGTTTATTTTAGTTATACTATAATAATTTTAATTAGGTTATATTTATTTTAGTTATACTATTTTTTAGCTTTATATTACTTTTTATAAAAATCAATTTCATTCTGAATATACAGATAATTATTATATATTTAATTAATTTAAATTTACTTATATTATTATGCAAATAATTATTATATATTTTCTAATTATTAATTTAGATAATTAATATTTTTAATTAGTATTATTAATTATTTATTCTTTATTATTATTTATATTATTTTTAATTATTATTAATTTATTAAAATTATTATTATTATAGTAACATAAAATTTTTTAATTCTATAATCTTTTTTTAATTATATGAAATTTCATATTTTTATAATTTTATACTTTATTCTATAATTATACTTATTTTTTTATAATTATATATTTATTTTTCTTATTATATTTACCCTTTATAATTATATTTCTATTTTTAAATATTATATATTATTCTCTTTATTTGAGATCTATATTTTCAAATTATTTATCATATATAATTCATATATTTACTATAATAGTATATTTGAAGATTCTTTTTAAATATTTAATAAAAATAATAAAATATTTTTTAACATCTTTCTATATCTTTCAATATCTTTTAATATTAAAATTTCAAATATTTTTCAATATTAATATTTTAAATATCTTTTAATATCTTTTAATATTAGTATTTTAAATATCTTTTAATATTTATATTTTTAATATTGATATTTAAACTATTAGTACTTTAATAATATATATATTTAAATAGTATTAGCTAGTAATACTATAATAATTTATATATTTAAAAAATATATAAAAGAATCTGCCATTCCAGCCTAAAATAAATTATTTTGGATTGAATTGTTTAAAAAATATAATTAAAAAGCTTATTATTATAATAATAGTAATCTTTTTAAAAGATTTCTTTTCTAATTATACTAGTACTTTTTTTCTTACTCAATTTTATTTTTTTAATTATACAAAGTTGAATTATAATATTATATTAATTTTTAATTTTTGATATTATTTTGAGAATAGAAGATCTCTATTATAAATAAGCTATATTCTTTTTGTTTTATTTATTTTATTATTTTTGAAAGTAAAAAACCTCTATTATAAATAAGTCATATCTTTTTTATTTAGTTTTTCCTTATTTAGTTTAGTTTTTACTTTTTACTTTAGTAATAATCTTTTTTAATTAATAGTATTTTACTATTTAATTATCTTAAGTCTTGAATCATATTGATTATTAGTAACTTTATTAACTAATCTTTATAATTTTCTTGATTTATTTATTTCTTTTATTATTTTATTTTTCCTTTATTAAGATAATATCTATAGATATTGGCACAAATCTTAGAAATTTTATTATTATTAAAAGTATAGTCTAATTCTTCTCTCTTTATTTTTTATTTGATTCAGTCTCTTCTAACTTTATATTATTAAGATAAATTCAAGTAAAAATTCACTTACTAATTCATTATAAGATATTTTTGATATCCTTTCTATAAAAAAAGACTCTTTTTATCTATTATTTATTATATATATCCTTTTATATTTCTTTTTATATTCTTTTTTTATCATTTATAATTGATAATATTTTAAGACTTGAGTTTTCATAACTAATTATTATTTTTTTTATTGTATTATTTATTAACTATTACTTATAGATATATTAAAATCCTAATTATCCTATTAGAATATCATCTCAACATTATTATCCTTATTATTATCCCCTTCAATCAAATTTTTTTTTATAATTTTGAACTTTTTGTTTACTTATAGAAAATATTAGAACAATATTAATTAATTAAATCATATATTTATTATTTACAAATTAATTCAACTTGATCTAAGTAAGATATATATCATTCATTTTAAATAAAGAATAATATAATTAATAAATACTTTTATCTTTAATTATATAGATATCCAAGAAGAATAACTTGATTTAATTAATCAATTCTATCAAAGATTTATCTATTAAAACTTTACTTTATAAACTTAGACAAGAATCTTATCTAATAATAATAATATTAAGAAATATTATTCTGAAATCAAGAATTCAGAAAATACATTAATATTCTCTAGTTAGATTATATTAATCTCAGTATCAGAAGAAAATACTCAGATAAATTCAGAAAATAATAATTAAAAAACTAAAAAAAAGATATTAAATGAATTAATAAAATAATAATAATAATTTAGAGAATCTCATTATTACTCTTGAAGTTCTTACTAACTGAATAGCTGAATGATATAATTAAACTATAGAAAAAATTATTATTCCTATTAAGAAGTACAGAAAATGATCAAAATCTAATAAAATAGCTCAAGAACTTTAAATATTATTACTCAGATCAATAGAATTATAGCTACTAGAAAAATATAACTAGTTAAAAAATATCTAAAAGATACTACTATCCTATGATATGATAAAAGAGATAAAGATAATATTATTTAATTAATAATTTAAAATAATAATAATTAATATTCTAGTTATAGCAAAAAAAATATCAGTTATATGATTTTCTGATCAATATCTAACACTTAGCTATATTATGTTATTACAACTAATATCAGAGTAATAACATAACATATTTTATAGTTCTTTAATTAGTCAAGTCAAAAAAATAATAGCTTTATTATTAGCTTTATTACAATACTATAATAATAAATATTATATAATTAATTATAATAATATATTTTAATATATTTAGTTTTTATTCATTTTTATAATTATTTTTATCTATATATATATAATCTCAAGTAAAAATACATAAATAATTCTATAGAATAAACTGTCTATTGATCTTTATCACAAAAAAAAGATTTTAAGTTAATATTATTATTGTAAAAATCCAAATAAAATAAAAAAACTATTTACTTTTATTTAAATTTAAATGAATATATAATTCTGAGTAAAAATTCAAGAATAATTTCATATACTATTATCATTATTCTCATAATTCCAGATTTTATAAAAAGAATTATCTGACTATCAAATATTTTATAATATTATATAATCTTTTGCTTTTAATTTTTCAGCATTTTTTAGTATTATATTTATAATTATATCTATATCTTTTTTTTGTAATATTCTTTAGCATATGAAATTATATTACACCCTCTATTTTTTTGTATTTTCTAAAATATATTATCAATACTATTAATCATAATAATTTCTCTTCTTATTTTTTCTTTTCAGCAGAAGCTAATTCAAGTTTGCTAATTTATTTCATGAGTTTAGTAATTTTTGCTTGAATAGTTTGGAATTTAGTTTGCAGATTAATATTATATTCTTGAATTAGCTTGTAATTTTCTTATTTAATAGTTAATTTAGCAACTTTGACAGTGAGATATTTTTCAGTATATATTATTAATACTATTAATTATAATAATTTTTTTCTTTATTTTTTTTCTTCAGCAGAAGCTGATTTGAATTTACTAATTTATTTTGTAAATTTAATAATTTCTGCTTGGATAGTTTGAAGTTTGATTTGCAAATTAATATTATATTCTTAGATTAGCTTATAATTTTCTTGTTTAATGACTAATTTAGCAGCTTTAATAGTAAAATATTTTCTAGTATATATTATTAATACTATGATTATGATGATTTTCTCTCTTATTTTTTCTCTTTGATAGAAGCTGATTTGAGT